TATTTTGACAATGATCTAAAAATTATAAATGATTATATATAAGATTTAATATTTAAATTTTTACTATTCCCTTTGATAAAATTTTAATTTTGCGCCAAATCTTGAAAGTGGAAAAATAATTTTATGATAAGAAATATCGGATAACAAACTAATTTGCTAAACATCGACCATAAAAATTTTTAAAATAAAAAATTAAAAAATTTTTTTTAAAATTTTAAAATAAAAAAAAAAAAATTTAAAAAAAAAAAGTACCCCCATAGAAATTTATAGAAGCAGTTGCTTCGGATCCCCCCCCCGTTGTAGGGGTCACTGACTCAAGTCAATATGTAATTCTAGAAAATGAAATAAGTTCCGCCCGCAGCTTATCACTATCTACCTTAGCTAACGAAGAGATTCTTTTCAAGGCTTCTTTAGTTATACATTCACTATTAATTTCACCAAAACTTCTAGGATGGAAATACTGTGCATCAGTTATCAGATGTTGATTTTTCGAAAATTTCTCTACAAAATAAGTTACTATCTGATCAATGATATCCCAAAATACTTCAACTCTGTAAATTTGAAGGGTTATTTAGATGCTCATCTGTACATTCCTCAAAGCAGATCTTCTTTTTACGACTAATTTTACGCTGCATTCAGCCTCCATGCATATATCATCTGGTATCATCAAATTGGCCAACTTTTTCTTGAAATATAATGACATATTTTAGCTTTCATATAGATTGAAAATTTATAAAATTTAAAGAAAATTTAGAATCTTTTCCAGGCAGTTAAAATGTCTACGTTTCTTATTTGTAAATATATAGAGGCCCAATTATTTCAAAAATTTCCAAAAAAATTTGTGACGTTAGCCATTAAGGATGTCTATATATTTTTCCCTGATAAAATATAGATGTAACATTTGAATGAAAAATCATTAATAATCAATCAATATATTTGAGTTACCAATCTACTCTAGCCCAGGAAAATCCTTAAACATTTACACTGGGTTATGTTATATGAAACAACTATAGTTCAGGGGAGATGCTTATAAAAAATTTTTAATACTTAGTGCACATGCAAAAATAATCAAACCAGTCAGTATATTAAATCAGGAGGGTTATGGGATAGACCATGTAATTTTTATTTGAACTTAAGATAGATGCTTTACAAAATTTAAAAAAATATTTTATGGCAAAATTAAAATGAATATGAAAGAAATTTCATTTTTTTTATATTAAAAGATCTTCTTATATACATCAAATTTCCTGTTAATTATCTATATACATATATTAATATTCTATTTTCTATATATAAACTATAAATATTGTATATATATTTATACAAATTAATTAAATATTTACTTGCAGCTATTTATTTTAATATTAATACTTTCTCTATTTAATTTCTATTGGATTCCATTTTAGGAACTAATAAAAATAGGAAAATGGTTTTATTTTTCGACTATTAAATGCTAAGCTAAACATTTAAATCTAATTTTTTAAAGATTTTTTTATAGCGCTTATAGTGCTTATAATTCCACCAGAAAATTAAATTAATATTTAATAAATATTTTAATTTATAATTTTTAAAATTTATTTTGTATAAATACATATTTAGACTTTACACCATTTTTAAAAAATAGTATCTATTTTTCCCTAAGGTCCCAAATTCTTTCTTAAGGGCCCCCAAATTTTTAAAACTTCGAGGCCTGTTAAGGATAGCAGGGAGAAGAACAAAATTAAGAAAGTGTTTTTATAACTTTTATTTAATAAATATATTTTAAAAATATTTAACTGTGAAGTACAATAAATTTCTACGCTTATATAGTTTACAAAATCTATCAAGTAATTTATATCGAATTATTGAGTTAATTTTATAAAACGAGTCCGCGAGGTTAAAGTAAATTTAATATAAAGAATAAAAAAAATCAATCTTTTAGTTAATAGATAGCGATCAATTAGGACATCACAACATTCCGCCCTCTAAAGGGACCCCGCCTAGGTTCTCTTCAGAGGTAAATCTTTCGTGTTCAAGGAGTTTTCCTGAAATCTGTCATAGTTTCGTCTTGGAAAATGATAGTTATTTTGGTTGTTAAATCTTTGGTTGCCATAATATGGTCAAATCTGCCATGGTTGTCTAAACTGATGTTTGTAATTATTATCATAAAGTCTGTTGTTATCAAATGGCATCATCTGGGTATTGTCATATCTAGTATTAGTTGGTTTTCGTTCGTAAACTTTCTCATCTTGTCTTACTCCCTCCAAATCTTTGATAAACGGTTTAGTTGTCATATGATTTAACTTTGTCATCCCTCTGTTAATTATTATCATTGTTTGTTATTAAATATATATGCGAAGATTTTGAATGATTTTAGAATGCAGGTATTATTGAATAACGTCGTAATAAAATAAGAATCGTCGTATAATCGAAATAGAATTAATTTAACGAATAACGAATTTGATAAGAATAATTGAAGCAGAATATTAAATATTTGGAATGAAATAAATAATTGGTCGTGTTTTATTTTAATTTTATTATATTATAAATATCAGAGACCTGCAAGCCCGGCCCTAAAAAATTTTTTTTTAAACATATCCGGGCCGGGCCTAAAAAAATTTTTTTTGAATATATCCGGGCCGGGCCTAAGATTGTTAAACCCGGGCCGGGCCTTAATATTTTTTATAAAAATTTTTACATTATGAGTTAATGGTTATAAGATTATATTATATTATAGTTATGATTAATATAATATTGGGTGATGGTTAACACTACCACCCACAGATCGATCTAATTATTAATTTCATGCAAATTTATTTAAAGTATTAATATATTTTTTTATAATTCATATCTAAATTTTTACAACATATTTTACCAAAACAACCAAATAAAGGAATATTTTAAATAAGCCCCAATATTCAAGTATTATTAATATATTTTTTTATAATTCATATCTAAATTTTTAGAATATATTTTACCAAAACAATCAAATAAAGGAATATCACTTCTTGAAGTTTGTAATACCTTTCAAAGCGAAAAAGGAGAAATAAAATTGATTTTACCTAATATAAAGCATTTTTTAATTGAAAAATTTGTTTTACACAAGTATCATTTTATTTCTCTTTTTCTCTGTCCCAAATTTAAGCAATTACGTATGTAGTCAGGGACAGATCGCAAGATGACGGAAAACTATATAAAAGATTATATTAAATTACAAGAGGCTCAGGAAGTAAATGAAATATCATCGACCAGTCAAATTACGACTGTTGTTAAACAAACTGAATCGTTTTATGACAAATGGGGTGATGGTAATTCTGGTAATATGTCAATACCCGATGATGAATATTATAATTACATAAATAAAAAAATAGATGAAACATTTAAGGTGGATAATTTGTTAGAGTGGTGGGCGGCTCATCAAAGCGAATTTCCAATTTTAGCAAAATTGGCAATTCCTGCTTCAAGTGCAAGCTGTGAGCGGAATTTTTTTACTACTGGGAGAATTCTAGAAGAAAGAAGAAGTAATCTTCAACCTGAAAAGGTAGATATGCTTCTCTTTCTTCATGATAATTTGTGAATTTCTAATGGTTTTTTTACTTTGCAAACTGTCAAATATTTATTGCATTTATTATATTTACCTTGAGTCATGAAAGTTTTTAATCCAACATTTTTCATTATTTTTTTTTACAATATTATATAATACAATTATCTTCTTTTGTTAAAAATTTATATTATAAAATAAATTATATTAATATTGTGCAATTAGATTATATTTTCAAAATACTATTTATTATACATGCATTTTTTTAAATAGCGATTTATTTTTATTTTATAAATTAAATATTAAATTAAATACAATATATTATATTCTCAAAATATTTTCCATTTTTATAAATTAAATATTAGTTTTATTTTTTTTAAATGCAATATAAAATATAGTATATGCTCAAAATATTATTATCATTTTTATGAATGTTAGTTTTATTTTTATAAATGCAATATAAAATATAGTATATGCTCAAAATATCAATTTTTATAAATAACAGTTTTATAATTTTTATAAATTCAATATAATATTCTCAAAATATTAGCTTTTTACATGTATTTTTTAAATAATAAGCGATAATACTCGCTAAAAAAAATGGTAAAATACCTCATAGGTGAATTTTTGTATTTACCAGGTCGAATATAATTTTAAAAAATTCCGAGCCGGGCCTGAAATTTTTAAATCCGGGCCGGGCCGTAAAAAATTTTAAAAAATAAATTTAATATAAAGAATAAAAAAATCAATCTTTTAGTTAATAGATAGCGATCAATTAGGACATCACAACAAGGCCCCTTGGACTTTTCTCCACTAGTCTTATTGGCAAGTCCGCCTCAGTTTTATATTATTAAAACAATTTTTATCTTATAAATTAATGTAAATAACTTATATATTCCTGGTCCAATTTAGAGAACTTTATAATGAATGTAACTCCAGCAAATATTTTCTTCATACAATTAATGTTACATACTTTATAAATAAAATTTTAAATAATTTTTTATTGAATATATTTTTGAAACATAGTTATATTTAATAGACAATATTAATTCAATTAAATGTCAAATTACAAATGTCAATTTAATTGGCATAACTGTTCTATCTACCTCGGTCTGAAATGCCAACATCCTACTTCTTTGTCATTAAATAAATTAATTCTTAATATAACTCATACAGATGAAAGAAGATTCATATATTATTTATGGTGTTTGATCTTATATAAAAAATTCCAGACGAAATAAACGGAACATCAATTTTTTATAAATTCATAAAACATATTTATAAACATAAAATTTTAATGAGTTGACTTATTGATTATGGGATAACATTTTAAACCTTAAATTTAAATAGTTTCCTACTCATGTGTTTTTTGGTCCTATATATACTAGTTTATTTCAGCATAAAATAGAATTGGTCCATTGCTTAACTTATTTTTAATAAAATTCATAGGTATTTAGACCTCTTTATGGATGATACCAACTGTTCTTCTAATTGTACAAAATCGAATATTCAACATATGGAAAAATCTGCAACTTATTTTGATCATTCATATGCTCCTGAAAGAGTTTCTAACTTATTGCCCAACTCCACAATCATCGTTATTTTAACCAATCCTGTAGAGCGCGCATATTCCTGGTATCAAGTAAAGTTCAAATTATCAAAAACCATTTTTTAATCAAAATTTTAATTTTATATTTTGAGCTAATAAAAAATTGCATAGGATAAGAATTTTTTAAACCCCAAATTATTTTTATAAAAAGTATATAAATTAATATTATTAAAATATTAACAATCTAATAAACATGATTTTATATTACACATCAAATGATTTATATATACCACAATAAAAAAATTTATATTAAGTCAAAATTGTAAATTTGATTTTATAAATTAGCATATGAAAGCCAATAACGACTCAATAGCAAAGGATTTTAGTTTTAATTCGATCGTAAATTTCAGTGTTAATAGTTCTGGACTCGTTTCCAATTTAAGTATCAAGATTCTAAAATTACAAAATAGGTGCCTCAATCCAGGAAAATACGTTATTCATCTATATCGTTGGCTGCAATATTTTCCCCCTGAGCAGGTAGATTTATCATTTTAATTAGTCTAATACATTATTTAACTGTTACACTGATACACAAACAAATATATATAGACATTGATAGAATATTTTGATATTATATATTTGATAAATGATAAACCAGAGCTTAATAACATTACCTTTACACCTTTGGGATTTAAACCCTGAATTAAAAACTTACATTTAAAAATGAATGTCCAAAATTTTCTTAAAACGATGCTTCATGTAGATCAAATTGTAAACAATAGTTTAAATTTTTTTAAATTAAACTAATTGAATTCTTATAATGTTAACACGAAAAGACAATTTTATCTCCATATAAAAAGGATTCGTCTGCACTCCTAATTCTCTGTGTGGGACGACGGTGAAAGGGTAGATTTTAATCGAAGTTAAGAAACCCGTCATATTTTCATTTATTAATTTCATTTTTTTTACAAAAATGAATTGGAAACAGATTCAATAAGCGAAACTGTTTAAGGTAAAGGGCGTTATTTTTTTAAAGTAATACAATTATGAAATATTAGCGTTATTTTAATTATTATTTTTTTAAAATATATACTATTTAAAACAAAACATAGTTTCGAAAATGGTTATTTTATGTGATTCATCGCGAATTATGATAGAGCTATCAAAATTTCGCGATACAGTAGTCCGAGTCCCTCCCTACTCTGAAGGCCCCCTCCCTAACCCCAGGTTGAAGATTAGACTAAGGTAAAAAGCTAGTATTTTTTTAAATATTAGGTTGTAGATTTATTGTTATATGAATTAATATTGAATAACTTTTTACTTTGATTTTCGTAAAATTTAAATAAGAAAATTGTACTATGATTTATCTATAAATTAATATAATTAAAAATATGCTCTTAGTTTAATCGAGTAATAATAATGCACCTCTGACAAACAATGTTTTTAGATTTTTTATAAATAAAAAACATTTCTATGAAATATTATTATACAAAAAAAAAATCTATTTACATGGCAGATGGGGTCTGATGGGTGTATATTTTTAATAGAATAATTTAAGGTTCTAAATTTAGTCCGATGACGAGTGTTATCGATACCCAACTTGATGAGAAATTCAAAAACTTGTCTTGATCTTGATAAAATATTTTAGATATTTCATGTTTTCCGAGAAATTTATACATATTTTTTCTAGGCCGGACTTAATATTTTACAGGCCGAACCCATATATACTTTCGACTATGGACAAATTATTTTGAACATATTTGTTTATTTTTTGATATCGAATTATATATCTTCTATTAAAAATTGCCTTTACAATGCACAATAAAAAATCTTTTCAACTATATTTTCAGACAAGCAGAAATGTGTTAAAATTATTAAAAAAAATAGAAGGTGTTTTATAAGGATTTGAAATATATTTTTGATGATATATTTCGTAAATTATGATCTAATTTAATTCTGCTTAAAAATATCTGCCCAAAAATTTAGTTTAAAAAAAAATCTGATTATTTATTATTCGCATTACGAATAATATATTATTTATTTTTACGAATAATACTATCCAGTGGTCGGAGTCGGCACGATTCTATCTGTATTTTTACCCAGCCTGTAAATGATTTTTTATGAGAAAACGACTGTAAAAATATTTTGCACAATTTGCCCTACATAAAAAAAAAATTTTCATTATTTTGGGCAGAATCTTCCTTTAATATAATTATTCGATTTGTACGAAAACGAAATAATACACTAATTTGATTTACAAAACTGAATATTGAATATATTTATTTTTTTCAGGCATATACACCTAGTCAGTAAGGGTCTGCAAATGGTAAAAATTTCAGACGTGGACTTTCTGGGATTTAGCTTTTGTCCGAGCCGGTCTAATTTTTCAAATGCAAGGCCTACCCAAAATAATATATGTTGTTGCAAAATAAACAAATATTTATAATAATGAGGAGTGGTTAAATTAAAAATACTAAACTTCATGGATTATCACTTCTATTAAATATCTAATAATCCAATCCAATAATTTCTTTTGCCCGGCCCTTTAATTTCTTTGCTCTCTATGCTACTAAATGACTCGAAAGTTAATTGGTGACTTAGCCCTATAATCTTATATATTGATTTGTAATGTTCACTAATCTTCTTAAACATAATTTACGTAAATATAATATATTATTAATTTTATAAAGATTGTTTTGGTAGATGGCGAAAAATTGAAGATAGACGCTCCGGCCGAAATGACATCGCTTCAGAATAATTTGAATTTAGATACGAAAATAAATTACAAAAAAAATTTAAGGTCTGCGCTCGTTAAAATATATAATACAAGTCTCATATTATAATATATTTTATAATCATTTCAAATTATTAAAATTGATACTTTAGGTTTGATACTACCAAAATGTTTTATTGTCTAAAACTTGGTACAAAGGTTAAATGCATGCCAAAGAGTAAAGGAAGAAATTATCCACCATTAGACCATTCTACTAGGGATTTTTTGAACCAATATTACAAGTTTATACATTTAAAAATATTATATAACCATTTCAAATAAAGGCCTTACAATACTGAATTAAAGAGATGGTTGAATGATAGGAAATTTAAAGGAAAAGTTAAACCTGCATGGATATGATCGACTAATAAATTTAAATTTTAACATTTAAAGTGTCTAATGATATATGGATTTAATTTATATACAATCATGTTTAAGATCATAGGGAATATCATTATAAAATGAAATGATAGTTAATAATTATAATCTATGAATGGAATATCTAATATTAAAAATTCATGTTGATCAACCAATAAATTTATTATAATTTTGCCATTAATGAAATTAGCAATTTTATTAATTTTATGTAAGAAAATAACAATGGAGACCCATACATTCCCCTCTGCTCATCTGGAAATAAATAAAATGAGTAAATATAAACAATAAAAAAATTTCAATAATAGGTAAACATGGTTGATCATAATTACAATTTAAAAGGAATTAATTTACCAATTACAATTCCTCAGAAAAAATTGTATTTTATTATAATTACATTTTTGAAATTACTAAAAATTTTGTTTAAATACCAATTAGAAGTAAATGCATTTTTTCGAGCAATGTGGATTACAAATTACTTTTACTAGCCGTCGTAAAATTGCCGAAATCACAAATAGTTGTGAATCACAAATGGCGGTGAATCCCAAATAATGGATAATAAATAATGGCCGTTAATCACAAATGACTATAAAGCACAATAGTGAATCATAAATGGCAGTGAATCATAAATGACAATGAATCACAAATGGTTGTGGACATGGACAGATGATGAATCGTAATTGACAATGAGTAAAAATAATCACAAATCAAAATCACAATGGTAGTTAAAAAAATAATGTTAAATTTTATTTTTAATTATTAAAAACAAAGTATTTATTTTATATTAAATATAAAACAATAAAATAAATTTCATATTTATAAGTAGTTATGCAAAGTAACATCGATGAAAGAAACAGTGTTACTTGAAACGCAAAACGTTACTTATTGCTTGAGATTAAACTCTGATAAATATAAAAAAATTCGATGAGGATCTTAATCAGGGCTGTAACCAAGGGAGGGGGGGGGGTGGTCCTCCCAAAAAAATTTTAGCTCCCAGAAAAAATCTTTGGCCTCTAAAAATGGCCCCCATATATTTTTCCGGCCTCCAAATTTAAAAAAAATTTATTATTTTTATTGTCTAGTTTGTAAATTTCTTTTTACTGTTTTATTTTTATCCAATAATAAATCATCATTCATTCATATTTTATCATTTTCATGAGTGTTTGTGTATGACATTATATAGGCGCTTAATCACGTTTAATTTGTACTTATTTCATGATAATTATTTTATTTATTATGGTCAATCACAATATTATTATTATAATATAACCAGTTATTTAAAACAGAGGTGAATATTTTCGAATTATGAAGAAAATACTGAGATAGCAACAATTTTGGTAAGCCAAAATAACCGTAATAAGGTAATGTTTAATCACACAGGTGATCCAAAAGTAGGCTTTTACCTTCGGCAAAGAATATCATTTGAAATTTGTGGATCCAACTGCATATCCACGTGGGTCATTAAGCTTCGCTGACCATATCTAAATATATTATTTTAAATTATTTTTTTAATTTCTCTTTTTTTAATTATATATTTTTATATAGAATATAGATATAGCATGTCAATTATAATTTTAATATTCTTCTAAATAGTATTTTCATCATTGTTTTGTTTTATTTCTATAACTGTGCACTGAAGTTTTTTAAAAATAAAAGTGATATTATAATCTTTACTACCTTAAATCTATTTAATACTATTTCATAGCATACAGGAGATATCTTTTCGTGAGATTGGTTCATCAAAAATTATGAATGCTGCAACTGATGAAAACATAATTTATTCTTCTGGACTATTTATAGCAATGTTTTCATACACCACCCAAAAAGATCCTGAATTAAACAAAATTATGAAATTTATACCCAAAAATGTTCAATATACATCACCCTATATTCAAAACGAAGTAGTATCTATTATGGCAGACATAGTGCTTAAATATATTTCAGATAAATATAACAAAAGTGAGATGCCTTTTATTTGTCTTGAGGCTGATGAGGCAAAAGATGCATAAGGTTGTGAGAACCTGGCATAATTATTTGCTATATTTTTTCTGAATAAGTCCAGAAAATTTAATAAGAATTATTAATTTACAGTGTCTTTCTGCTCAAAAGCATTACTAATTGCATTTTATAGCAACTTAATGAGTTAAATATTAATTCAACGAATATAATAAGCCAGGCATATGATGGGGCAAACACTATTTCTGTCCGAAATGAAGGAGTGCAAACCCTACTTCAAAAAAAATTAATAAAAATGTTCCTTTTATACATTGCTACAACCACATGTTGCATCTTGTGGTTCAAAATTGGCATAATAATATTGTTATCATTTCAAATTTTTATTTATCCAATGCGTTGTATATTTTTTTAGGCGCTTTAACGTATCCTGTAAATATGAAGACCATACTCTTAAGAGACTTTTAGACCTGAGGTGGACTGGTCATTTAGAAGCCTCGCATCATTCATTAGAATTTTGAGACTATTAGTGAAGTATTATTTTACTTTTCTAATAGAACTCATAATTCAGAGATTTCCACCTATGCTTCAGTCGAAGCCTCTGATCTTTTATCTCAATGCGTTATATAAATTACGTTATATTAATCATTATAATTTATGAGATAAACAGATCCATTAAAAGTATCTACAGTCAGTAGGTACTAGTAGATGCTAAAAATTGTATTGATTCCACTATCAATATATTAAAAAATAAAAGAAGCGATAATTCTTTTGATTTGATTAGAATTAAGGCTGAAAAACCTTTAGCAAAATTTAATCTCACTCCCCACAATTCATCAAGGGTGCGTAAAACGCCTATAAATTTTCAAGATTTTTTAGTCGAGACCAAATTACGATTTATGTGAAAAAAACTCCAATTGGAGTTCTTTAAAAACAAATTATTGATTACTTTGTGTTAATCGTTTTTTAGATAGATTTACACAAGATGACTATAATCTTCTATCATGTTTTAATACATTGCCCCCCTTTGACCCCGATTATTTAAGATAAAATGGCCGATTATAATCATTATTAAACTTAAATATGGAAAGGTTACATCATGAAATGAAAATAGTTAAAGAATTATTAGCTGCAGAGGTTAAAGAAATACATAATATATAATATCTTAAATATTATATATTAAAAAAAATATCATCAATCATTTAAAGAATTGTATAAGCAAAATTTAGTATTGATGGCTTATGAAAAAAATAACACAAAATTTATCCTTTAATTCATTTACGTTAAAATTTAAAAATAAAAATCGTCGTATTATATTATAGTATTATTTTGTATATATTATTTTGTATTCATATTACTTTAATAAATTTTTAATAAAAATAGCAAAAAATTTTTATGAATGCTTAATTATTTGTTTTATTCTAAAAAAAATAAAGGCAATGTTATATAATTTTATTTTTCGGGGAAAAAATAAATTATAAATTTGTGATTTTTAAAAACAAGTAAAGTGCCATTTCTTATTGAATAATGAGTAACGCGTTCCCCTTTTCGCAAACTGTAGTGATTTACTTTATTTACAAGATAACAAAAAAAGTAACGTGATTCTTTTATAAGTCATTTTCTATATGAAAAAAATTGCGTTATTATAAAATAAAATAATAATATGTAAAAGTGTTGCTTTGATAAAAACAAAGGGGTAACATATGATGAAACAAATAATGTTAATTTGCTCCTTTCCGCAGACATTCTACCTTACCAATGCAAAAACTGTGAAATCAGCCACGTGCGAGCAGTTAATTTGGTGGGCGTTTAGATTCGAACCAACCGTCATATTTAGCGATAGGAAACGCACAACCTTAGTGTCCTCAGCTCCATGATAAAAAGGCCGCTCTTGGTTTGGAACTTCCTCTGCATTGATCCAAATGCCCCATACAACTAAAATGCCGTAGCCTTTGCACTCTCTCGGAAAATGGCTGAATATAGCTTCATCAATCCTTTTTAAGCATTCACACCCATTGTCGGCTCTATTCTAATCTCTTTCGGCAGCAAAGTTAAAAAAAATTTAAATTAGGGAGAAGGATCCGAGAAAAGACCGATCAACCCAAGGAATCTTCCTTTTTTTGGAAAAGACTTGCTATATTTATTATTCGTTCTAATTACTTAAACTTTATCCCTTCCATCGAATGATCTCCAATTCCTCTCATTACTTTCTTCTCTTCCCTAAATTTATTTGCTAATTTCTTTATATCTTCTTTTCTTGCATTTATTTATTTTCTCCTCAATCATAGTTTTACATTTATCACCTCTATTAATTTTATATTTAAAACAAATTAGTATATGTCCGTCCTTTATTATACTATCATTTAAATAAAGAATTGTATGGTAAAAAAGAAAAAAATAGGTATGAAAACTCAATAGCCTTTGTTAGACCCTGTGATAATCTCAGCATCTAAAACATTCATGTAATTCTTTGACAAATCAAGCATGTTCCATTAAATAAGCCTTTAGATATTTCGTGTTAGCATTACCATCAAGAGTAATGTGATGAGATATGCGTAAAGGAGTTGAATGCAATAACTCTATAGGATAGTTAATATATGAAGAGCTTGGATATTGGATAGGTCCTGAAGGTATTATTTTATCAACTTTAGATTCTTTTTTGAATGGGGTTTTTAAAATTTTAATTTACCCTAATTGCCTTCATGTTTAAATATCTGCCTCAGGCAATTTTGCCGTTAGCTTTTAAGTGATTTTAAACTTATATAAAAAATTTATGCAGAAGCTAATATACTTATAAAAAGTTTATAGAGTAGGTTTTCTACACATGCTGAAATATATTTCCAGCAAAATTATATTCTCAACATTTTAAAAAATCGGGAAAAAAATTATATAAAGTTAAAAAAGTGGCACATTGACGCAAACATATATACAAATATATTTGTTAATGTTATATTATAGAAGTATAATTATTCAAAGTAAAAGTGGCAAATAGCTTGCTCAATTCTAAAAGAAAATATTTTTATAGTAAAAATTTAATGGTAGATATTAGGAGAAATATATACATAATTTTCGCATAAGTATCGTATGAAGAATACACGTCTTTTTAGT